TCTATCTATCTATCTATCTATCTATCTATCTATCTATCTATCTATCTATCTATCTATCTATCTATCTATCTCTATCTCTATCTCTATCTCTATCTCTATCAAACATAAAAAAATTCAGTTTCTACATAAACAGTGCATCATCTGGGTAAAGTTAATTTTGAGAAATAGTAATCATAATAATTACAACCATAATGGTCACATAATAATCATATTTACTTATCCATTTTAGTAAACCTTCCTTATATAATTAATCATTCTCTTATGCTTTTAAATTTCTAACTTCTGTTTCTGTTAATTAGCCCGTTGATAAAACAAATTCCACACTAAAAAAATATTCAGATTCTTCCTTCTCCTTAATTTTAAGTGTTATTCTCTTTAAATGCCATAGTTTCCCTTTGGATTTTGACTCCATCTTGAGAACCATGGCCAGGAAGAAAATAATTAGTTCTGTGTTGTAATCCTAAAACTGAAACAAACTGACTTGGCTTTCAAAGAGAGTCTGAGTCGGATTTGGCATTTTTATTATTTACTTTATTATTATTATCTTTTAATGACATTTATATGCTGCCCATCCTGCTATCCAAAATTAGAAGACACCGCCAAGAGCCCTGGCATGCCTTTTTGTTCTCCCCCTTGCTTCTCTCCAACTCCGATCCTTGATGTGTTTTCTTGCTATAGATAATAATTTGCCGCTATTCTGTTGCAGGAATTCAAAGATTTAACCCCTAGGATAGATTGCCTGGATCTAAAAGGTACGTCTCCAAGCCTTTTCTTGATTTGCCTTAAAAGGTGGCCATCTCTCTTCTTGTTCAAGCATTGGTTCCATTTATTTGCATTTGAAAACAGCCCCTTGTTTTCCCCTAGAATGGAAGTCACAGATCCTGGGGCCATTTTGCCAAGTGCCAGGTGCGAATTAGTCATTATCTTTTGCCGGCAGGCATGTGACACCCGATGTTCTAAAAAGATCGGCTCAGGTTTTGCACCCACTCTTCTCTTTTGTGTTCCTCTCTCTTCTTCGCTTGTAAATTTACAAAGTTAAATCAAGTTTTGGGGAGAAAAAAATGGCTAAATGCACCAGATAGTGTAACCGGATGGACAGGTTTGCTGATGAAAATCTGCATCCTCTTTTCCACAAGAATTACACGCGGTGCTGTTTGGATTTACCTGCAATGAACCTTCCTTTTTTATTTTGTTTTGTTTTCCCCCGGTTCCCTCACCTGGTTTTCAATTTCATAACTAAGCAGCCCCTTTAAAGCAGTCATTGTGTTTCCACTGCGGTGACAGGCTGTTGACTGGAAGGCAGTTTTTTATGTGCAGGTGGCTAAATAGAAGCTTCATCTTCCAAATGAAAGGCCTGTTGTGAGGGGGGAGAGAGAGAGAGAGAGAGAGAGAGAGAGAGAAGGGCTCCAGGTGTGCGAGGGTGCCGACGTCATCCGAATGGAAAACGAATGGGTCACACTTGACAGTCGAGAGAAGAAAAAGCCAGACGTGTTGGTTATCTGGCTGGGTAGCAGAAACAACATCCCCCTCTCTGAGCAGCCTTTCTGACCTCTGCACAAGGCTAAATCTGCATCACGGGTGCAAAAATTTTTCTAATTAAAGGTGCATTGTTAATGGGCACTGAATCATTGTTTTTGGCAGTGGTTTGCTCTCCAAGCCTGTTTCAATTTAGTTTCTGAATGTTTCGTTACCAGACTACCGTGTTTCCCTGAAAATAAGACCCTGTTT